AGGGTGAAAGAACATAAAACGAAATAGTGTATTCAAACATATATTTCAAAAAATGTTTAATAATAGTTCTTAGGTGTCATCGAGTCGATACTGACTCATAGTGACCCTATGCACAACAGAACGAAACACTGTCCAGTCCTGGGCCAGTCTCAATTGATCCCACTGATGCTGAATGGATGTCTCTGCTTCTCTGGATAAGGTCCCGCGTTCTGCTTGTGCTCTTCTCCCCTGATGATCTTAGGGTCCTCTGTTTTTGTTTTGTTTCTGGAGGCCCTGTTACAAAAACTTCTACCTTTACAATTGTGACAGCTGCAATTAGTCATGATAATAATTATTCACTATTGAATCATATAAATCTTATCCCCATCTCTTTTCACCAGACCCATTTAGACAAGATGAAACTATTTACTCTGGGGACTCTTTATTTTCCCCCATACTCTTTAAACTAAACACCCTCTTGAAACCTTGTAAGCCAGTCACTTCGTGCCTTTATTGCCCCTCATTTTAGGTAGCCAATGTCTAAGTTGCCCATCCCTATCTATCCTGTGTACAGAGGGGATTGCATTGATACTTGGTGTGAAGACTCCTTCCCTCTCTATTAGTATTTAGAGTTACTAAGGAGCTCTGGTAGCGTAGTGGTTACGAATCGGGCTGCGAACCTTAAGGTCAGCGGTTCAAAACTACCAGCCGTTCCGCGGGAGAAAGATGAGGCTTTCTACTCCCGTAAAGATTTACACCCTCGGAAACCCTATACAGGGTTGCTATGGGTCGGAATCGACTCGATGGCATTTAACAACAACAACAACAACAACAACCTCCATTAGTATAAGTCAGGTTCGTCAAATTGTAGCAATTTATCCTTGTTTCATTTGTCAAAAAACAAAATTTTTTGGGTGGAGTACTCTTCCTTTAGTCGAGTTCTGATTATCAAGCCATCAAGGCTAGGTCAAAAAGTTACTGTCTGCAAGTTTGGGTGTTCTTGTGCATCTCCCCTCACTTGATATCAGCTGGGTGCTTCACTCTCAGCTCTAGCCCTCTGTGGCTATGTCCTTGTCCATGGGCTCAAGTGTCCCCAGGTCTTATCACACTTTGGACCAACCAGCCCTTCCTCTTCTCTCTCTCATCTCCAGGTCAACAGGAATCAGTGGACCATGGTTGAACTCAGGCCATTTCTTCATTGCTGCCTTTCTCCCTCTTCCACTCAACCAGTAGACCAATGTAGTCATCAGCAAGTTTACATGCCTTTTTGTGTGTTCCCTTTGAGTTTCAGTCTTAGGAGGGGAGTTTGTCCTGAAGGCACTTGATTGCTTGTCTTGATGTCTTCCTGGAGAACAGCTTGTTTATTCTTGTAGTAGCCAGTCATGTTGACATTTTTGTTTTGGGTTTTTCCTGATGCTCTTTCTTTGAAGATGTATCATCTTCTGTTGCTCTAGCTGTTCCAGGCTGGTCTCCTTGTCCTTGGTAGTGGGAATGTCCCACCTCATAAGGGTTCTGTATGGGACTCAGGATTCCACCTAAGGTCCTACACTCTGCAAAGGCTTTGCAAGAGGCCTATTTCACTGGGCAAGTTGTAGAACCCCTTTTAGATGTATATTCCAATCAGTTATAGGCTAAAGATGGGCTTACATGTTTTCTGTAACATGTTTCCCAACATTCCTTTCTATCCCACTCACGTGTCTGTTTTACAATGGTAGGTAAGGGAGACCGTCAAGCATTTTAGTACTATTTCCCCTCTTGAAGCTGTGCCTAGATTCCTGTATCACAGAGCCCTTTTGTTCCAAGGTTGAGCATGCATCACTATTTACCTCTGTCCCACTAGGCCATGCAAACCTGTCTCAGTGTTCCCCTATCTATCTTGTTCTTCTGCCTCTTCTCCCTTCTTGTATTGCCCTCCCCAACACCTGAAGTAAACCCCCCACCCTAACCCCACTGTTGTGGTCACCCGATATTTCATTAACTCTTCCCTCCATTTAAGACAGTCTTATTTTATCCTGTAATCTATGTGACCTTCTCACCACTTGGATCTCTGATCCTTTGTGTTTACCTTCTTTCACATTGTAATTGTTTTGATCATAGAGTGACCTCTCAGTGCCTCTGTTCTTATAATTTTATTCTGTTCTTGACTCTTCCATTTGTTGATTGAGTTTAGGGTCATGCTACCACGTACGTCATTCTCTGGTTGTTGTCTGTTCTTGTTGGTTTTCAGTCCACAGAACTTCCTTTAGGATTTTGCCAAAGCAGGGTTGGCTTTGGCAAAATCCCTTAGCTTCTGTTTATCTGGAATGTTTTGATTATACCATTGTATTTGATTGTCAGCTTTTCTGGGTAGAGGATTCTTGGTTGGCATTTTTTTTTTCAGGGTTTTATATATATTCCCATTGCCTTCTTGCCTGCATGGTTTTTGTTGAGATGTCCGAGCTTAATCTTCTTTCACTAGCTGCTTTCAGGATTCTGTCCTTATTTTTTATTTTTGAGAGCTTGATTATTATGTCTTAGTGATTGTCTTTTAGGGTTTGTCCTTCCTGGGGTTTGTCGAGCTTCTTGAATGCTTATCTTTTCACTTTTCAGGATGTTAGGAAAATTTTCTTACCGAAGCTCTTCAACTATCTCCTCTGTGGACACATATGATTCTTCCTGTTCTGGAATGCCAATAATTCTTAAGTTATTCTTGTTCATGTTGTCCAACATGAATCTTAGGCCTTCTTCAGATTTTTTAATCCTTTTTTGTATTTGCTCTTCTATCTTAGTAGTGTTGAGAGATTTATCTTCAAGCTCACTAGTTCTGGCTTCTAACTATTTAATTCTACTCCTTTGTCCTTTCAGAGTATTGTCCATTTCTGATATTCTATTATTAATCATTTGAACCTCTTTCTGTAGGTTTTGAATTGTTTCCAATGCTGTATATATCTTATTTGATTGTTCCTGTAGCACTTTCTTGACTTCTTCCTTATTTTTCTCAACTCCATTGTATAGTGTTTTGATACATTTTATAATCATTTTTCTGAATTCCTTCTCTGGCATTTCCAAAGCCTGCCCTCCCTCCAGCATGGAGTGTAGGTCTACTTCCAGCTCATTTGCCTCAGTCACTTTATCTCATTACTGGATGTGTGCTGGTACGGTCATCTTCATCTGTTTTTTGGGCATATTCAGGGGTTATCTGTGGCCTTAATACTTAGGTTGGGTGTATAGTCTGGTATTTTTTATGCTTTCTGATTGCTTCCAGGTAGATGTGATCAGGTAATGGGCTTCCCTTTTCCCTCTTCCTGAGAAATTTCAAGATGCCACTGTTTGTCGTTGTGATGTAACTAAGGATTTAATTTTCTGCCCATTTCCTTTTTAATTTGCGTGTCCCACTGCACAATCCCTGTTCAGGCCTTCTTCCTAGTGATAAAACCGTTTATGTTGTGGCTGTTTTGCACTGCCGTTTGGTTTTAAGTGGAAACTGTCTCTTTAAATTTTGAGGAGATCTGTTTGCATGTTTAGTAGAACCCTTTGGGGTGGGGGTGGGGTGTCCACTTGCTCAGGCACCCCCTCTAGTCACCAGAATGGAGGTGTGCAGACAGCAAGAGACCAATGAACAGATACACACACACAAAAAAGAATGTCCACACCTTTATCTCTGTGGTTCTGTCAGGCATCCGTGGCTGCTCTGATCCTTCCCCCGCTTGGTCTTGCCCAAGGTGGCGGCTCGGGGAGCAGCTGAGCGTCTTGAGTTAGAAAGCATTGGATTCCTTGCTTCTGCTACAAATTCCCCTAGCTGTAAGCCTTCCGACCTTCTAAATATTGCTTTATATGTGGTTCAGAGTTCTGGGACCATACCTTGAGCCTGCTTGGTCCGGTATTCTGTGTTGTTGCTAATGGAGCTCCTCACTGCGCTTCTACCAGGTCCGCTATCTTGTTTGTTTTCCCTCCGTGACCTTTTATTGCCCCCATTGTATATCTGGATGGAAAGGGGAAATTTCACGGTGTGGAATTGGAACCAACTGGTTTGAAATCCTGACAAGAAGTGTTCATTCTAGCAGTGCCAGAGTCAGTTTAGTGTTCTTTCACTTTTCTTATCTATTATCAGTGTATCCTTACTCAATTTCATTAAAATAGATGTATATTTTTTAAATTCCCAGTGTTCTTAGATTTTTGTTCCTTATACTAGATGAGAGAGAGGGTATGGAAAAGTGAATTCCCCCTTTGAAACTGGTTTTTATTGCTTCTTTATTACCTCTTCCTCAGTAGAAGGATGATAAAGCCCGACCTGTACTGTGAATACATGGGCTGATGATTTTAATTTAAAGACAACCTAAATCATTGAATGCAGGTTTTTTTTTTTGATTGTTGTTCAGTATCCTGTCATGTGGCATCGAGCTTGTTGAGTGGAATATGCTTAATTTATGCAGGTCTTTAAAAACATTTGGCACTGACTTTTTTTTTTAAATACATAAACACAGACAAGATGGTAATATGTTTCTGTTATGTTCTCCTCTAACTGTTGAAAATTTTTTGTCAGCCTTTCTCCACAGAAAAGTTAACCATAATTTAGAGCCATTTGGATGATAATCCTCAAAAATATTTATAGATATCAGTGAAACACTTGATATAATTCTTTGTCAGAGTGGCCTTTAAAATCACATTTACGATTATTGTGTCCTTTTTCGGCTTTGTATTGGCTTTAATTCTCTATTATGTCTAATTACTGTTATACTGGGATATAACATTTGGGAGGGTCTAGGCTCTCACCTCTCTGGTAAAAGATATTTCTACATAATAAAATTAGATATGTGTGATACTGACTATACTTTATTGAGAAAACTAATTCATTTGGCAAACTTGAATTTAGATCTTGGACCATTTTTCAGGAGCAACCCAGAACTATTTCTAAGAACATGTAATAACTAGTACAGTTAATTCAGTTAGATTGCCTCTTTGTACTGTATGTACTTATTGTGCTTTAGGATGGTAATCCTATAGAAAATATTACTTTAATTGAAAAGGTCTTTTCTTTCCAGGATTGGCCATTTGATGATGGAGCTCCACCCCCTAATCAGATAGTAGATGATTGGCTAAACCTCTTAAAAAACAAATTTCGTGAAGAGCCAGGTTGCTGTGTTGCAGTGCATTGTGTTGCAGGATTAGGAAGGTAAGTCCTTACCCTTTTGTCTTTGACTTCCTTATGCCCAAATAAGTCAACTGAGAAGTTCACTTTGGTGGCATTTATTGTACTAAAAAATGTTAAATTGCCTGAAAGAAAAGGAAATGTGAGTAAAAACTAGTGTAATGATTTCTTAAAGTAGATGTTTTGTTTTATTTGTTGTCTGATTCTGATGCCATAGTACATTTAGTGGGTCATAGTTCAAAAGTTGTTTTGAAGTTGATTTAATGTAATTGTTATTATCTTTGAGCTAAAAATAAAAGTCTTAATTCATTATATTTTCTTTTTCTCCTTTTAAGTCATCGAAGGTTCAGGTCATGGAAATAGGCAACAAAATTAAAGTTATTTTGAGTTTGAGCATTCTATATATAGTTTATTCTTGAACTGTGAGATGAATGGGAAGTTGTTAAGTAGAGAACAGATGACTGAACTTTAAACTCTTGGAAAATAGATGTGTGGAGCATGAGAATTGATTTAATTAAAAAACCCTTTTTCTGTAACATTGCTTGCAATGGTGTTGCAACACTCAGCAGCAGCAGAATAAATGTCAATTTTTGACATGAACTTTGGCTCAAAATATTTGTGCAGGCTGTTGTTGCCTCTAGGTAGTAGTGACTCAGGCTATTAGCTCTGCTCTGCCCTTTTGTTTGCTAGTTTCCTTTTATGCAGTTTTATTTTGTATATTTTCTTAAGGGTTGAAATTTCAGCCTTAGTCTGAAGCTAAGGCTAATGTTGTAACTTGGGGCAGTTTTATAAGTAGTTAACTATCCTAGTTAGGTAGTCCAAAGTTGGTGCCCTCTAATATACTTTCAATTCCTTTGTTAGAATTAAAAATATGTATCTACACTTACATAGAGAACTGTTCCTAATTAATTCTCTGGCTGTCTCCCAGTTTACCAAAAGGATTTTGTTAAAGAAGTCTAACACCTTTTTAGTATGTTATAAGAAAATGTTACTAAAATTGATTTGGAATGAAAATACTGAGGCGCATTTGATAATAAGTTTGGTCATTTATTTTACTATGATGATGATTACAGACCAGGGAAGAATTTATGATTGCTATATAATGTTGAGAAAAATTTAGATGTAATACGATATTTTTAAATGATAAAGATCTCTAAATAATAGATTAGAATTTAATGCTTTACTGAAAATAGAAAGTATCATGGAAGCTATAATGATAAGAGATACTATATTGTAGGAAAATCTGATATTTTAGTAGACAGGATAAAGGAAGGCTCAAAATTCAACTTTACTCTGATAATAAGTAATCTTTTTTAATCCTTTAATTCTAGATTTGTGGTTATTTACAAATGGGCTTTTCTCTACAGGGCACCTGTGCTGGTTGCACTTGCTTTGATTGAATGTGGAATGAAGTATGAAGATGCAGTTCAGTTTATAAGACAGTGAGTATGGAGTTTTATGTTCAGAAACACATTAAGATGATACTGGAGGAATTTTGGAAAGTGTGCATTTATAGTGTAGGATAATTTGCTATGTTTGGCTTAAAACTTTGTTTGAAGATTTGAAAAATAAAAACAAAAAACCGAAGCAAGTGTAAAGAGACTCAGACTACTAGCTCCCAGATTTTAAGATTTTCTAATTTGAGTGGGAAATTTGGACATTGTAAAATATATTCAGTTATTATTTGAGTTATCTGTTGTTGTTAAGTGCAGTTGAGTCTGTGTTGTGACTCTGTGACCCTGTATAGGGTTTCTGAGGAGCTGCTGGTGGGTTTGAACTGCTGACTTTTAGCTTCAAACTGACCTTGATGTCCGTCCAGTGCATTATCCTACAGTGCTACACTAGGACTCCATTTGAAGAATATCTAGGAATCTTGAAAATGAATAACTAGTATTAGGGTCTCATTACTCTAGTGTCCCTTTTCACTGGATGTTCAAAATAACTTTTCATATGTAACTCTTAATATCCTTATGACTAAGAGGCAAGGAAGAATCCTTGCCTCTTAGATTAGAGGAGCAGGTAATCACCGAGGACTCTTAGTGACCTATTCAGGCACAAAATCAAGATGATGGTGCCCAGATAGAATCTTGGCATCAATCTGAAGTAACAGGCCATGCTAGAACTTCTGTTGTCCAGAATTCTGTGGCCATTATTATCTTGCCCTTTTCCTTTCAATCCTTTTGTTTAAAAAAAAAAAAAGAAAGTACAGTGACAGAGGGCAACATGTAGATGGGAGCAGCTGTAGGAACATAACATATTTCAAAGAATACTGTCTGTATATTTTGAGCATGCATTTTCATCTTGTTACGTGCTGTCGAGTCGCTTCCGACTCTTAGCGACCCTATATAGGGCTTCTGAGGAGCAGCTGGTGGTTTGCAGTCCAGTGCTGATCCTACAGCGCCACACAGTATTTGTTACCAATTTGAGCCTGAAATATATTGCTTGGATTGGGAGGATAGTCAGATATCTTATGTATAAACCATTCATATCTTCTAAGAAGGTTCATAAATTTGATGTTTCGAATCAGCTGTTTCATTTTAAGAAATAGTGTGGTATAGGAAATATGCTGGTCTCAGCTGTTTGGACCTAAAGAATCAGGCTGCTTTTTTTTTTTTAACATGATAAAGTTACCATTCTTGTATTTTCAGAAAAAGAAGGGGAGCATTCAATTCCAAACAACTGCTTTACCTGGAGAAATACCGACCTAAGATGCGATTACGCTTCAGAGATACCAATGGGCATTGCTGTGTTCAGTAGAAAGAAAAGTAAACGAAGGCTGACTTGATTGTGGCATTTAGAGGGAACTCTTGGTACCTGGAAATGTGAATCTGGAATCTTAACTGTGTCATCAAAGTAGTGATGGATTCAGTACTCCTCAACCACTCTTTTAATGATTGGATTAAAAACCAACCAAAAAGAAATCCCTCTCTAGCATGAATAAAATGTATGAGAAAAGAAAAAGAGAAAGGAAAAAATAATTTAGTGAAGGATGAATTTTGCTAGTGTTGGAGTTTGAATTTCTGCCAGGGTTGGATTATTTCAAAATTTTCTCTTTTTTAACTTTTACTAAATAGGTCTTTAAGGAAAACCAGCAAAACATTAGTCTGTGCAGAACCATCTGTTTGGGGGAGCACACTTTTCCATTATGCTTGGCACATAGATCTCCCTGTAGTGGGATTTCTTTATTTTTTTGAGGAAGGGTATCCTTTCTCCTGCTTCTTTTTGTTCTCCCTTCCCTCTCCTTGTTTTCCCCCACTCCAATACAGTTGTAGATGGAATAGGAGAAGTCCTTGTTGATATAGATTTGCATGCAGTCTGGCAGCCTTAAGCCCACCTGGGCACTTTTAGAAAACAAAAAACACCAAAAAAAACAAAAACAAAACCAAAACCAAACAAAAAGGGGGGAAAAAAAGCAGTGGCATATATACTATACGATCCAGGTGGTTTTTAGTCTTTATTGATGATAGGGTATTCGTGTTAGTTTTGTTTCCTGAAAACCCTATTTGACATTAGGCAAAGTAGCCACGAGCCACCTTGTTTTGGTTTTGGTAAATTAGTGGGGATAGAGCATTTTAAGAGAGGAGTCTCTCTTCTTAAGAACTTAGCTGAGAGTCGAATTCTTCACTTTTCCAACCAATGAAGCTAAGTGGGTATTTCAGAAACCTTTGTTTTCTGAAGGGAGAACTCCAGGACATCACTAAAGGAGTGTCCAGGCAGAGTTAGCACACTTTCTACAGTTTGTAGAATTGTGGACTTGTAGCATTACTCTGATTATCTGTCTAACAATGTCAGAGAATGCTTGTAGTTCAAAATGTTTATTTTAGGACTGATTTATATTCTGAATTTTCAGAAACAGTCAGACTCAATATTTTGGACTTGAGAAATGCCTATGATGGGTATTTTCCAAACTGCCCCCTGTATGTACAGTTCAGTTTTACCACTGATTGCCTTCTTATTTTCTTACTAGGTTCTTTTTGAGATTTAAAAAAAAAAAAAAAAAAAAAAAATTTGCTGGTTCAAAACCAACAATGCCTAGTGAGTATGTGTCCACAGACCATAGCAGGGTAGAAGAGAAACAGAGCAACCCAATGAGTAGCAAAAGAGACTGTGTGGCTTGTGAAATGATGTAGTAGTTCTTTTTACAGATTCTTTGCTGGTTCAGTGTGTTCCTCTAGACAAACTGTTTTTCTGCCCCCTTGCAGGGGCATTTGTGGCTGGACTGCATTGATAAAAACGAGTTGAGGGGCACTATCGGAGTTCTTACACTCTTTTCACCTGAGTATTGCATATGCATATATAATAGTGCTCTGCTTCTAAGGCTCTGGATACAGGCTTAGGGTCGTCGTGTCCTGCTGGAATTTGCTGTGCAGAGCCATAAACTTCCATTGTTTTAGGATCAGCTTGGCCAGTAGGGATGGACCCAGGACCGTGTCTCACACTGATGATACCTCAGATGTTGCCTATTTCCTATTGCCGGAGTTGTTTTGAATTTTAAATGCAAACGTGTAGATTATCTTTTCCCCATACCGAAAACAAAACAAAATGATGCTTTTTTCAAATTGTTTCTAGGATTTTAAAATGAAAAATAATGGTACTATCCAAAATTCTTTTATTTCAGAACATGACAATAGATTTCCTTTAACAGGCTAAAGATCAAAACAACATACCCTCTAAGCTCAGATCACCTGTCTATTGACTCCAGGGTTGTTCTGATCAATACTATACCAAACCTTTTTCCTTTGACATGCTCTGATTTTTGTGGTTTTGGGAGAGGGTATGTGTGTATGTATGTGTGTGTGTGTGTGTGTGTGTGTGTATACATGTGTGTGCAGTGTCCAATCAGTATCAGTGCCTGCCCGAGTTAGGAAAATTACATTCCTGGTTCTTTGTGAGGAGACGGGTGTATAAAGCAACATGAAATATTAGCCCTCATTTTGTTTTAAATTGCAGACTAATGTTAATTGTTCTCAGAACTGGATTTTTTCCCCTCAAAATTAAAAGGTTTTTTTTTTTCTTCCTCTTTTGGATTTAATGAAGTATTGCTAGCTGAAGCCAGTTTGACATGGTGAGAGAGATGTCAGACTGAGAGGTGTGCAGCCTGATTTAAAACCAAACCCCTGTGCCCCTTTAAAGAACAATAAAACATATTTTACATGCTCTTTGTCTGTGCATTTGTTAATTTATGTCTGCTTGGGAAGCTTGCTATTTTCAAGGACTGCTAACTTAGTGCAAGTGAGGTGAAAGAGAGTTTGGGGAGTTGAGAGACTTCATGCTAGCCAGATGTTAAATCGGGAAACTTAACTGTTGTTGGGATGCTTCTGGTACATTTTCAGATTCGGTTATGGACATACTATAGGAGGTTTAGCATCTTACCTCATTCCAAAGGATTTGTTTCTATCAGGTTTTGATGTGACTTTCTAAGTGAACTCCTAAAGAGCAGTGAGGAAGTAGCAGCTTTATATGTCATAGGATTTGGTGATGGGACCTATAAATTCCGACTGTAAGCATCCATTTATCCATCCATGTACGTAAGTGTCTGTGTGCTGCTACGAAAGATAAGACACTGCTCTTGCTTGGGAGGTCCTCAGTGTACCAGGGGTGTCAGGTACATACACATATAAACATACAGTGGGTGGTTTATTCATTGATCTTTTTCTCATATTTTTTACAGCTTAGTGTCCTTCCTTCGTTACCTGGCATATATTCTGTGGTCCATTGTTAAAATCAATCTTTTTTTAAATTCTTCCCTGTACTTAATTTCAGGCTTTAAATCCACTCTCAATCAATTATTTGATAGTTATCCTTCAAGCTAATACAGTCATTGTCCTTTATAGATCTGTCAGTTTTCATACTGTGGTGGCTTGCAAGTTGCTGTGAATGTTGAAAGCTTTGCCATCAGTATTTTAAATACCCATGGTGGACAGGTCTCAACTGAGCTACCAGACTTAAGACAAACTAGGAAGGAGAGGTGGACTATTTCTGCATATTTAACCACTAAAAACCTTATGAATTCACAGTGGAACACTGTCAAATAGCACCCCAATATTGAATATTGAAACAGGAGTAGTATCAGAATATTGTGAAATACAGTGTCAGAAGCCAGGCTATTCAGGTTGGAAAGCACTCAAAATATGACTGGGAAAGAGCTGCCTCTTCAAAAATAGGGCTGACCGTGATGATGTGAATGGAATAAAGCTCTTGGGATCTTCATTTGCTGCTGAGACACAACTCAAAATGAGAAAGCTGTAAACATTGATTAATTGAAACATGGGATATATGAAGTATGAATCTAGGAAATTGGAAGTTGTCAAAAATGAAATGCATGAAGATCAGTATCCTAGGCATTAGCTGAAATGGAATGATACTGGGCATTTTAAATTTGACAATCACATGGCTTACTGTGCCAAGAACGACAAATTGAAAAAGAAAATCATCAAAAAGAACATTTCAAGATCTGTCTTGTGTAATGCTGTCTGTGATAGGATAATATCCATCCGTACACCAACAAGGAAGATCAGTTAACACAAATTTACACACCAACCACTAAAGCCAGTGATGATAAAATTGAATTCTACCAACTTCTTCAGTCTGAAATCAAACATGCAATCAAGATATATTAATAATGACTGGTGATTGGAATGCAAAGGTTAGAAACAGAAGGGATCAGTAGTTGGAAAATAGGGCCTTGGTGATAGATGTGATACTGGAGATAACATGATAGGATTTTGTAAGATCAGTGACTTCTTAAGTGACTTCATTACAAATATCTTTTTAAACATAAAAGATGACTGTACACATGGCCCTCACCAAATGAAATACATAGAAATCAAATTGACTACACTTGTGGAAAAAGGTGGTGGAAAAGCTCCATGTCAGCCAAAACCAGGCCCTAGGGGTAGAATGGAATAGAGTATCAATTATGCATAGTGCAAGTTAAGGCAGAAGCTGAGGGAAAAGTCCATGAGAGCCAAAATACGACTTCAAACATCCCACCTGAAGTTACAGAACATCGCACTAAGATGCATTAGACATTAATGACTGAAGACCAGGAAAGTTGTGGCATGACATCAAGAACATCGTACAGGAAAAAAAAGATCAGTCATTAAGAAAGAAGGAAAAGATCAAAATGGATATCAGAAGAAACACTGAAGCTTGCTGTAGCGTAGAAATGCTAAAGAAAATGTAAGAAAGGAAGTAAAAGAGCTGAACAGAAAATGTTAAAAGGTTAGAAAACCAAAGTCGGGTATTAAAATGAAGTGTGCAAAGACCTGGAGTTACAAAACGGAAAAGAACATACTTAGCATTTCTCAAGCTGAAAGAACTGATGGAAAATTCAAGCCTTGACTTGAAATATTGAAGAATTTTATGGGCAAAATATTGAATGGTGCAGAAAGCATCAAAGGAAGACGGAAGGAATACACAGATTCACCTTAGAAAGAAATGGCTGATGTTCATGACCACAAGGCAGAAAGTCCAAGGTACACTGAAGGCATTGGCAAAGAACAAGGGTTCAGGAACTGGAGTACAAATTGAAATCTTTCAACAAACTGGTGCAGCATTGGAGGCACTCATCTGTATGTAAAAATTTGGAAGACAGTTACCTGGAAATCATATTTGTGCCCATTCCAAAGTGACCTAACAATGCAGAATTGATTGGATAATATCAGTAATGCTAAGTGTGGTTGAGTCAGTTCTGACTCAGCAACCCTGTATAGGATTTTCAATAAGCAGCTGGTGAGCTTGAACTGCCCACCTTGCAGTTCGTAGGGATCTTGCAGTCCAGAGCATTAACCTGCAGGACCACACCAGGACTCCTTGCATGCAAATAAAATTTTGCTAAAGATAAAAACAGCTGTAGCAGTACATTGACAAGGAGGTGTCAGAGATTCAGACTGGATTTACAGGAGGACGTGGAATGAGGGATATTGCTAATGTTACGTAGATCTTGGCTGAAAGAGAACTTGAGAAACATGTTTACTTGTTCTTTATTGACTATGCAAAGACTTCCAACTCGACCAGGGTATCTATGGATAACACTGCAGAGAATGAGTATTCTGAAACAATTGTGCTCATGAGGAACCTGTGCATAAAACAAGAAGCAGTCATTAGAGCAGAACAAGGGACCATTGAATGGTTTAAAATCAGGAAAGGTATGCAGTGAAATTGTATTCTTCAACCATACTTAGTCTAGATGTTGAGCAGATAATCAGAAACTGGGTTATATGAAGGAGAACGTGACATCAGTAGGGGAGAAAGACTCATTAAGAACCTATGATAGATGGTACAACCTTGTTTGCTGAAAGGGAAAAGGACTTAAAAAATACTGATGAAGATCAAATGTGGCAGTCT